CCAATTCGGAGGCACTTTATAACCGATGAAAAACATCGATAAGCGATGGTCAATAACAGCGGAGAATATTTTATTTAGAGGTGCACGTGGCCCCTCCCGACCGAGATCCCAGTTATCGGAATACGTCTTTCGGTGTAATACACTGACCGGGAGAGACCGAAGAAGAATTTACTGACTGACCGATAAAATAGCGATACGTCCAGCGGCCCGTAGATGGGACGTGCGACAAGCCGGTAACGCTGGGATCAATGGACCACAGAATTTTTCGAAATGTCGTTAAATCCCCTGTGTCAGCAGGGCTCTGAAATCGATTCTTCGGACTCGAGCCCGCGGCTATTTCTGGTATCGAAGATATCGAGCTAGTCGCTGGCCGAAGTAAGCGTCTTAGACGCCTATAAGCGCTGAAACGCATCGCCCTCTTACCATTTTCTTTTCGCCCGGCTTTTCTAGATCTTTTATTCCCTGGATTTTCTCCATGGATCACGTCGAGTGTGAGATGCCTTCTGGTTAACCCATTGCTGTATATTTTATAGCAGCGGTCAAAAGTTTCAGACGGCCACACTTTCGATAAATAATTGTGTTGTATTATACAGATAATAAATAAACAATAGCTATTGAATAAATATAGTTAAAATTTAAACAAGATTAAATAAATAATGGCTGTTAAATTCTACTCTATTATATCCTATTAAATTTCATCAGAAAACAACATTTTTCACAGATCTAGTACTATCCAGTGCTCGCGTGCTTCGGCGAAAGCAGTTTCCAGTTTCCGATCTTTACGACTGAGCATTAGATTCTTCCGAAAAATCAGTAGCAATTCGAAAATGATCCTTTTAAAGTTATAGGTAACATGTCTGCTTACAAGCTGTTTCAGATTTTCCAATAATTGCTATATTTCGACAAATGTCTTTTTCTTCTTGCGTAGTGATGTAACGATTCTCCTATCTTCTGTGCCCATGATTATCATTTAAATTTAGCAACTGTTATTATAAATTTAATCTGTCATGTTCAATAAACTAATTATTGTTCGATTAATTCGACTCCCATGGGTCCCATGGTCTCCCATGGGAGGGAATTCGACTACTGCGTTTGAATGTTCGTCTTAAGCTAATGTTCGCAGCAAATGCAGCATCGAATCGTTTCATGCTCAACCTCTCAAGTATTGTTCACGTTTTAAATATCTCGTGGTCGTTCGTAGATAAAGTGTGAATGTATATGTAATTGGTATATGTTCCATATATAATTTGATGCAATGTCAGAAAGGTAGTCGTCTTAAACTTTTCTCCTCTAGTGCATATGTTTGGTGCAAACATTAAGCTGGAACAAAGTAAATTTTCTTCTGCAAGTGAATTGAATCGTGTTGTAAATACGGGAGAAACTTCAGGGAACACTTTTCACGTTTCATACTACGTCATACTTTTGGTCGGTCAGTCTTCTAGTCCAGGCTTAGGTCGACGATGAATCCGACTTTACAGTTTCGAGGGTAGTCGAGTCATTTGGAGACCTTCCTGAGCTCTCTGAGCTCTCTCTCGACAGCCCCATAGCTTCAATCGTTAAGTGACTACCCCAACCTTTCATTTTTCTACATATATATATATATATACACCTTGGCCAAGAAAACTTAAATTCCAATCTTGTGAAACATTAAAGAATTGAGAATTATGCGAAGATCATTGAAAAGTTGAAATTGCGAAGTCGAAAGTTAGACGTTGCCAACACGGAGAATCCTGCATTCGCAGGAATATCGCGAGAACGAGGATCACCGTCTCGCGTTATTATTCGCGGCAGGGATCAGCCAAGTATAAACATCGCGGAGAAAGTCATACTCCTCTCCAATGACGATCGTTTGTCCCGCGTCTCACGAAGGAAGGCAAAATAAAGGGCCGAATGGCGGAATTTCGCTTGGCAAGCTGGAAGAGCTAATCTACCGACATAAAGTTGCTCCATAGAGTGAGAAGCAGAGGTGCTTTAACGCGTACCGCAAATTATACCCTAACCAGGAGAATTGGAGGATGAAACAGCAGCCAACCAAAGATGGAAGAATACGGGATGAAAAGAGAGGAAAGAAACGAGAGGGCGAAGAGTTTGCACGCGACTCTTTCCAAGGCAATCTGTAACTTCTCCATTCGACGCTAACAACCAACCAACACGAAGAGAGAGGCGAACACGAAGAGAGAGTTCTTCACACAGAGTCCGACTGCTCGACCTCTAATACCGTCTCCTTCGTCCCCTCATTTTGGTCACCATCTCCTTTCGGCAAAGTACGCTCCTCCGCCCCCTTGTTCCTTTGGTCTCGTTCCGAAGTGCCGTTTCTCGAATAAACAGTCTCAATGGAAAGGGAGCCGGTGGCCTGCTGTGGGTCGTCGAGGAAACGGGGTTGAAGGTAGGGGAGGAGGGTGAAAACGACCAAGTCCTTTTCGAGGAGCCATGAGTAACGTGTGGTCTCGGTCTCGCTGGCCGCAGTAGCTTACTCGCTCTACAAACGTTCCTTGATGAGATCGACGTGAGTACTTGGAACTCTGTCTGGCTCTCGAACGAGGCTCCTCGAAAGTGTGGCTCGGTCG